CTGCATAGCGTACATCGCGTAGCTCACACCACCTTGTTTGCACCACCTCTGGTGCTCAACATGGACTGCGCCACATAGACTGCACCACATAGCTTGCATTAAACAGCTTGCGCACCACTTATATTTCATCAAGTAGATTGCTCCACACAGCTTCCACCACATATATTGCAGCACGTCTCATGCTAGAACACACTGTTTGGGATCACGCTGGCCGACATATATAAAGGAACTGGCCTTTCGCGCTGGAGTCGGGTCGGTGTCGCCCCCTCGTGGGTTTGGACGTAAATTTGGATGGAGGATTGGGAGTGGGTTCGGGCGTGAGCTTGGACGTGGTCTGGGACGTGCGCTTCGACGAGGGTGTGGCGTGTGCTTGGGCATGGACTTGGACCTAGGTTTGGACCTGGATCTGCGCAGTGCTTTGGATGTGGATTTCACATGATGGGCTCCAGGCACAAAGGTTTTCAAATACATGACTCCCCAAACGTTGGGCGGCCTGGGCGGCGACGGGGCGGCGACGAGGCGGCGAGGGGCGGCGACGGGACGGCTGGGCCGACAACCAGACCCAGGCGATGGGCGGCGACGGGACGGCTGGGCCGACAACCAGACCCAGGCGATGGGCGGAGACGCAGACAGCCAGGCCCAGGCGACGAGCGGCCGGCGACGGGGCGGCGACGAGGTGGCGACGGGCGGCTGCATGCCAGCCAGACCGACAACCAGGCCCAGTTTCCTACAACACCGGTGGCAGCCCCTGAGTGCAAGTACTGTTCTGGGAAAAGGTGGGGCGGCTGATGTACAGCCACTGCATGGGGAACACTGCGTAGTAGCGTGACGGCCCGACCCGACGAACTCACTGCATGGGGAACACGGGCGCATCAAACTCACGCTCCGACCCAACGAACTTGGCTGGTGATTGTAATCAGGGTTGTCAGTCAGAAGACACACGTACGCTCATAGTAACAACCAGACTCTGTGGAGTATATTAATCGAGGCGCCACGCTCAAAAACCAATACATGCCAAGCCAATGATACTTATGCGTTGAGAAAGCTGCGTCGCGATTTCAATGGACCACTGGCATGTGTTTTTTCAGAACAGCGTTGCAAGCTGTTTGCGCCAGTATGTCTGTTTCTCCGTGCTTTTCAGTCTTGCTTACTTGTCCATTGCTTGGCAATCTGCAACATCGCGCGACGCAGTAGGCGAAGCACGGGCAGATGGTAACGACGACGATCACATGACGGTGACGACGATGATGATCGTGATGATGTTATTCATGATGGTCATGATGGTGATGATGAGGTTGTTGATGATGATGGTGATGATGGTGATGATGATGATAATGATGATGATTGTGATGGTGATGGTAATGGCGTTGATGGTGATGACGATGACGATGACGATGACGATGTTGTCGCTGATAATGATGATGACGATGATGATGGTGGATCGGATGATACTGCGATCATATCCTTCGAACAACAACTATGAAATCAATGATGACGATGATGATGCTGTCGATGCTTTCGCTGATGATGATGCTGATGATGCTGATGATACTGCTGATGATGTTGATACTGATAAGGATGATGATGCGGAAAATGATGACGACGATGACGACGATGATGCTGCTGATGCTTATGATGCTGCTGATGAGGATGATGATGATGACGATCATGAGAATGATGACGATACTGATGCTGATGATGCTGATGATGATGATGCTGCTGCCGATGATGATGCTGATGCTGATGATGAGTACGAACATGATCATACTGGGGATTCTGACACTGACGATGTCGACGCCGATGATGAAATTGTTGACGACACTTGTGATGACGGCAAGTATGATGATAGCGATAAGGATGGTGATGATGGTGATGATGCTGCTGATGATGATCCTCATCATCATTGTGATGGTGATGGCAATGGTGGTCATGCTGCTGATGATGCTGATGATGCTGATGATGATGATCGAGACGAATCATGACGATCATAACCGAGGAATTACGATGAGACCGATGATGATGTTGATGATGATGCTGATGCTGATTCTAATGATGATGAGTCTGATACTGATGATGGCGATGCTGATGATGAAGGTGATGTCGATGATGCTTGTGATGATGACCAGGATTACGATAGTGCTGAGGATGGTGATCGTGGTGATGGTGATGATGGTCAGTATTCTGGGGGTGATGATACTGTCGATTATCGTGATGAGGAGGATTATGAGGATGTGGAGGATGAAGGGGAGGAAGAGCAGGTGCGGTGAAGCAACCGTAGTCGCTGCGGTGACTGCGGCAGCAGTGGCAGCGGCCCTCGCTTGCTCGCGGGGCGGGGGGGTCGGCGCCCGGCAGGAGGCCAACGAGGGTTTCACGCCGCTGATGACGGGCGAGCTGCCCTTCTCCATGGACGCGCTGTTCGACAACCTGGTGGATCATGCGGGGGCCTCGGGCTCGCCTGGGCTCCTCGCGATCGGGCGACGTCAGCTGACCACCTCGTCGATCCTGGCCGGGCGGCTCCTTGGGCCCACAATTCGGGGCGCTCAAGAGACGGGGGTTCAGTGCAAACGGGGGTGAGCCAGAGCGCCGGATCTTGCAGAATCCTGCAGAGCCAGGGTTGCACTGACCCGGGCTTGGGCGCAGGATCCTGCAGGATTCTGCAAAGCCTGCAAGCGGGTCAGTAGATCTGGGGAAACCAAAAACGTTCGGGGGTGGACAGACCTCCTACCCTGACACGTCGATTTGTGAGTCGGCTGTTTTCGGTTCGCGGGAGGGCGTCGTGGCCGTCATTTTTGCGGGTCCAGGTCCGCCGGCTTCGGCCCCAGGCCGTTTTCATTAAGGGAAGGTTTACTAAAGGGAGGTTTGTCCACCGCCGAAAGGTACCGATACCGTTGCTCCCCAGACCTCTCCCAGTGTGCGTTCTGACCAGGATGTCGAGGTGAATGCATCGGTGGCGACGAGGGCCTCCCAGGAGGCCCAGGAAGGCGTAACACGATGGAGGGGTAACGCGCTATGGGCACCCCTTCCTCCGAAGATCCCTCCCTGAAGGAGCGGTGCGGGCACCCTCTCCTGGCTGGGCCAATGGTGGCGCAGGCGGCCACGGCGCCGAAGCAGAGGCCACCGTGGGCCCAGGGGGGCCCCATGGCCCTGGCATCGCTCGGACGTGTGCATTTTTCCTTCGGCGAGGGCCGTCGAGGAGCATCCTTGATCATTTGGCGAAACAACCACGCACGAAACCGAAAAAAAACACAGGAACTGGACGTCCGAGCGATGGCCAGTGGCTTTCGGGCTGTGCCCGAGAGCTGGGTCCAGGGGCCCTTCTGCGCGTGGCCCAGTGGCTCGCCGCGGCCAGGGCAGGGCGTCCCCCGGAAGACACAGAGCGCTTCTCGCGCGGCAGGCGCCTTCTCTCAGGTGGGAAAGAAAGACACAGACACAATTAATCGTCCATTCCCCAGAAAATATGGGAAAATATGGGAAGTGGGGGGGAAGACAAAAAAACAGAAAATATGGGAAACTATGGGGAATCTTTTTATTTGTGTGTATTTATTTGTGTGTCCCAGGGCCCCTTCATTCTCCTTCTCGCTTCCACCAAGTCTGCGGCGTGCCGCTGGTCCTGGCCCCGCCGCTGGGCGCGTTGTGCTTGATGCGTGGGCGTCGCTGGCGCCGGAGGGTGCCCAGAGAAGGAGCCGCTCTCGCCGATCCGTTGACCCCCCCATGTCCGCAGACGGGCCAACGGCGATGCAGGTAACGGCGACCGCGGGTTTCGGTGCTGTGGGAACGCGTGGCTCGCGCTCTCCCGCGATTCGCGGCGTCGTGTTCGCTCGATCCATTTTTGCAGACTGGAACCGCAGGAGCAAGTGCGGCTCGCGGCTTCCTACACTTTTGTGGCTCCCAACGTCGCCGTCAAGCAGCATCGCCGTGGGCCTGGCCCTGGCGGGTGCTGCCCCCTCCCTGTGGTCGCGCCCTGGCCCGTGGGAGGCGCGGTGGTCGGCTGACGATCGCCCGACGTCGCGGGGTACCTTATTAGTGAATTTCATTGGTTTTAGGGATTTAACAAATGGTCGCAGCCACGCAGAGGGCGTGCGTAGCGACGCCCCAAATGCTCGGTCTCCAGTACTTCTACGTGGCGGCGCCCCCGCAGGCACGCAGAGCTTCTAAAGACCAAACATTTTGAACACCAATCGTTTCCACTACTAAGGTAGCAGCAAGGGCGCCTGCGCTCTTCCCCGCGCCCCTTGCGGCTGGGGAGCCGGGGCGGGCTGGCCCTCGCTTGGGGGTCGGAGGGCGCCAGCCGACACGCCTGCACGGAGCCCGGCCAGCCCGGAACGTAGGCCCTGTCCCTCCGATTGGCGTCGCCTCGTCCCGATGCCGATCTCGAGGGTTGCCTCCGTTTTCGAGGGCGCATCTCTACGAGTGTCATCGCCTGGTTGGCTTGCCAATCCCAAGAATGGGGATAGACGTGGCGTACGTCTCGTGCCACTACAACAACGCGCACTGATATATATATATATATATATATATATATATATATATATATATATATATGGTCGATCCCCCCCCAGCGACCCCCCAGAGCGCCCAAAGCACGAATACACAACTCAACTTTGGCCTGCCATCCAGGCTGACGAACTCATCCGCTCGGCCCATCCGTCACGGGCACCGTGCGCGCAAGCATATCGGTTTCGGCCGAGGCCACGAAACACTGTGTATCACAGGTTTTTCTGTTTTTTCTGGTCTGGGAACCAACGAAACACTGCGTATCACAGGTTTTTCTGGTTTTTCTGGTTTCTGGAGCTGAAATGCTCGCCGCGGCCTCGCCCCACCGCTCCCCCACCTCCTGTTTGTCGGCACCTGAAAACCAGAAAAACCAGAAAAACCTGTGATATACAATGTTTCGTTGGTTCCCAGACCAGAAAAACCAGAAAAACCTGTGATACACAGTGTTTCGTGGCCTCCGAGCAAGAAAACACTGTGTACTCTTCGGGGACTACAGCGCTCGCCGCTCACTGGCAGTGCTCCTTGAGGAAGGCCTCCTCCAGCATCTTCCCTGTTGCCAGCCACAAATCCTCGCCCCTGTGCCAGTACAACCACTGGTAGGAGCGGATCTTGTTGGTCAGCGCCTTGGTGTTCGCTGTCTTCTTGTTCCCTAAGTGTTTCCGCAGCTCGCCCCAGATGCGGTCGATGATCTGGGTGCCAGCTTAAACCCAAACGCGCTTGGTCTTGTTGGGCTTGCTGTCATCTGGAACATCGTGGTGGGTGATCTTGGTGAACTTAGGCTTGATCCACACCCACTTACCCTTGACCATGACGCGCTTCTTGGCGTGGACAACCCAATCATGCTTGACCCCTTCGAGCTTCAGCTTATAACTCCTGGCCCCGTCCGTGTGCAGTATGATGTTGCGCTGGTGGACCCACTTGTAGGCCAGAGGCTTCCAATCGCGCTTGCGGATCGGGCCTGGGCCTGGCGCCCGCCTCTTTGTCTTCGCTGGGTCCAGCTTGAACAAGACGAGGGATTTCTGGTCGCCGCGCTGAACCATACCGCCCCATTGCTCCCAGATGACAGGCTTGTCAGTCGCAGCGTCTGTGTTGGGGTCTTCTCCTTTGGCGATGTCCACTTCGTCGGCTTCTACGTCCGCCCAAGGCAAGTCGGCACCGAACTTGATGTTCTTCTCGTGCTGGACCACGCTCTTGGCGCGCACCGCGTGCAAGGACTCGTAGATGCTCTCCGTGAGCTTATGATTCTTCTGCAAGAGAAAACGCACGGAAGTCTGCGAGCATTTCGCAATCGAGCAGAAGAGCACAGAAGCTTGATCTGCCAAGCTCACGTGCGACTGCCCCGTACCGCACTTGAAGATGGGGTGGAAAGCGTGCGGGAGCACGCGGCGCTTGCACTCCTTGCTGTTGCAGCGGTAGGCCCACCCTCCATTCGAATCGGCGTAGTGCTTCAGAGGGCCAAGAGTGCCTTCCCCGCAATAGGGGCACGTGGCGCCCTTCCAATCAGGGAGGATCTTGTCGCGCGTCAGCTTGTTGATGATGGTCTTCGCGGGCGTGTTCACGAAGTCCTTGAGGGACCTCGCCCACGTGGCCTGCGCATGGCGAATCCTCTTGGTCGGGGCCCCGTGGCGCACGTACGGCACGTTCTTGGGCGCGCCGAGCTGGTCGGCAGCCGCTGGCTTCTTCAAGGCGGAGGGCGCCGCCGCCGGCCTCCTGGCTGTAACCCGAGATTGCGCGGCAGCGCGGGCCTTGCCCCTCTTGGCAGCAGGCCACGCCTTGCCCATCGCAACCAGCTCGCCGCTCGCGCGGGCCGCGCGATGCGTTCGGCAGCTGAACCGCGAACCTCTCGAGCCGAAATCGCTGCGGACATGGTCGGCGGGCCTCTTGACATATGTGGAAGCCAAAACAACGGGGTGATAAGACGATCGCTGGACTGGGAACAAGTTGCGCGAGCAAACATTTCCGCGGCTAGATGCAGATCACCTCACGAACAATGAAATGTTAATAATGCGAATGCGCATGATAGCATGCCCCTATCGATGCCTCCCCTCACAAGTTCACGAGCTCGACGCGGCGCCGCTTGCCACGCCATCCGAGAACTGCGAGATCAAGCCGTCAAGCTTGGCCTTCTCTTGCTCCCGAGACTTCTTGGCGTCCACGCGGGCCTTCTTCGGTGACGGAGAGCACAGATTGATAAGTCCGCCACCGCTGCTCAACTTACGCCTCCACACGCCTGGCTCCGCCTTCACTGGCTTGGTCGGTGGGGTGGCTGGCATCGCCTCTGGCGCGGCGTCCATGCCGCCGCCGTGGCCAAATACGTCCTCCCCCTCCTGGAACGTTGAGCCCAAGCCGAGCTCTTCCCCATCGGGATTGGGCGGCGCAGCGGGCTGCGGCGAAACCGCGGCGGGCTCCGCGGCGGGCTCCTCGGCGGGTTCGGCCCCGCCCTGGTTATACTGCGCTTTGGCCTCCCTCATGAGCTTCAACATGTCGCGCTTCTCGAAAGCCAAGAGGTTGTCGAAGTCCTCCTGGTTGCGCCGCACGTTGTTCCGCAAGAAGTTCTGGAGGCACGTGCCCGCCTCAGGCGTGATGTAGCCGTCCTTGAGAGGCAGCTTCTCAACGAACGCGAGCGTGCCCGCTGGGCGGAAGTAAACGTTCTGCGTCGTGTTGAGAAGGATGTTGCAACGTTTGAGCATGGCGCCAATGTTGCTCGGGGAGAGGTTCTTTGGGAACGCGGGCTTGGCCATCTCGACGAGGTAGGACGTAGTGCGGGTCTCCTTGTCCCTTGCAGTCGCGGCGAAGGCCCAATCAGTCGGCGTCGGCTCCGCAGCGGCATCATACTCGTTGTCGCCGCCGAACCTCGCTTGGTTCCTTTTGAATTTAGCCGCGCCCCAACGGACGTATACATTTGACTCGACCTGGGTTGGGTCGAACAACGCCTTCAGCACGCGGGGCCTCTGGTCAGCCAGGTCCCCGTCGTCGAAGACGCAGGGGGCCCACGTCTCTCCGACCTCCAGAGGGCTCTGACGAAACAGGATTGCGCTTCCGACCAAGGTGCGGAAGTGCAATGGCCCTAGTCTTCAAATCCCTCTGACCTCTCCCCTGAAGAAGTCCATCTCGGAAGCCGCGCGCACTGCTGGGGCGGCAATCGAGCGGCCGCGCGCCTCGTTCGCTCAGTCTGCATGGTACCTGGCCAGCGCCATGGCCATAATATACACCAGAGGGGTCTTCCCGAACTTGGCCTCGCCAATCAGGAGGACGGTGTTGCCGAGAAGCGTGCTGATGATCTTGTCAACGACGGGCTGGTACTCGGGCCGAATGTCCCCCTTCAACAGGGGGTAGTGCGTCTCCTTGGCCGCGAAGTGGTCGCGGTCCTTGAGAATCTGGAGGACCTTACAAACGAACTCTTTCTTCACGTGTTGGAGCGTGGAAGCTGGGTCGACGTATTCCTGCTCCGCCCATAACAACTGCTCGCCGTCCCAATTCGTGCGCGGCGCCTCGTCTTTGACGTGCTGCATCGCGTCGGCGAACTCCTTCTTCTCCTGCACCACGTCGCCATCTCCGAGAGGCACGCTCAGCGAACCTTTGCGTTCGAACCTCCAATAGCGGAACAATGGCCCACCGAGCCGCTCGACCATAAGTTGGAACGTGCGCAAACTGTTGAACGTATCTGGCTTGTAATCGATCGTGCAAGGGTCGCCCTGGATGAGTTTCTCCTTGACCGTGCACATGGTGTGGCCATTTCCGAGAAACGAAAAGTGCTTCGCAATGACGTGTGACCCTGGTTGTGAGGGATGCTTGCAAATCATGATGTTCAGCGTGCAAGGCAGCGCGTCCTCAGTGTCATTGTAGCCGAGCGGGGGTGGCAAGTCTTTGTACCTACCCTCTGCCATGATCTTTTTTACATCATCCCACGCCACGGCGTCCAAGCCAGCGGTGTCCGTGATCACGTCGACAGCGTCCCTAATGTATTGCCTCGGCTTGTAGATCCATTGCTTGATGGGCAGGTCGAACAACGACGTGGGCCCGACGGGGTCGCGGCTCAAGTCGCCCTGGACGTCGGGCTTGCCGGGGACGACGGCCTTCTCCTTAGTCTTAGCCGGGTTCCACACTTCCTCGAGCTTGTCGTTCGTGTGATCGGCGTTCTCGAGCCACAGCCCCAAGCATTTCATCCCCTGCGCTGGCACGTTGGGCGCCTCGGCAACTCCCTTGGGGGCCACTGGCGAAAGATAGCGGAGGCCGCGCGGCAGTCGTGCTGCCAGGTCTTGAGCCGACGTAAAGCTGCATTGTCAGAATGTAGCGAAAGGGCTGGTCGCCCGACTGTGTCTTCTGAGACCACGACTACGACTACGACTACTAGGAGGGGGGAGATCGGGCAACGGCTGTCCGTCAAAGGAAATGGGCGAACCGCCAACGCGAACTCAGATCTTTTCCAGCGGTGCTCAGCGCACGCGCATCCAATCTCACCGTATAGAAAACAATCGCCCCAGAGAAGCGCCATGCTGTCGCTCGCCCTCTGCGCCTCAGAAGTAGCGGAACGCCGAAGCGCGCAGGCCGAATGACGGGCCAACGCGCTGTCGGTTGGACGGCTGACCGCCGTCCACGTCGAAGACCACGTCGCGGTGGCGGGGCAGCGTGAGCGACGCCATCGCGATCCGCTCCATGAAGCCCCAAGCCGTCGTCCAAGAAACCTCCGCCACGTCGCCCCACTCAGGGAAATCAGGGGAAGTGAAAGACACAGTGCAGGTGCGCTCCTCGGGGCCCGCCGCAGGTCGGAAACCCGCGTCGCTAGCGAGCGGGCCACGATCCGCGACAGATCGTTCGAGCCGATCGACGAGAGGGCTGTCGATCTCCAACCGCTTTCGACAGACCGATCGGGCTGATCGCGGAAGAGAACAACGATCGCGGCACCGCGGCTAACGAGGCGCGCACGCGAACATCGTATCCAACGCAAAGGGCCACCACTTCCGTGCACGTGTACTGACGGACGACGACGTCGCCGAACGCGGGGTCGTTCGCCACCCACCTGTTGCCGTGAAAGCCAGGGGCCAAGAACGGGTAGCCGCTGTCCCTCACTTCAATGTTCACGGGCCACACGCACACGTTGAACCGATCCTGGGGAAAACGCAATTGCTGTTCAAACTCGATGCAAACGGGGCAATGCATTCCAAAACTCCATTCCCCGCCCCCCCCGCCCTTCGCCCGATAGTCCTCGCCAGCAGCCAAGCGCTGAGCCTGCAAGCGCCCCGCCCTGCGCCACGCCGCGTCGGGCGGAACGACGTCGCCAACGTGGCCAGTCATGGCGCGCGGCACAAACGCATATTCGAAAGCCATGCGATCAAACCTGCAGCGGGGAACCTTATTGGGGGTCTGAGCACCCTGGGAGGCCTGAGCGCCAGTGGCAACAGGGAGCGGACGGGGCAGGAAGGCGAGCGGAGGCGGTGGCGACGACGACATGTTTTTATTTGTGAAAAACCTAAGGTTAATTTCATTCGCGAAACCGCAAGAAATGAGAACCCAACAAATGGGTTCCCAAAGCGTTCTCTTTTGGTTACGACCCAACGTGTTCTCGTTTGGGTTTGACGTAAAGTGCGCTGGTAATCCCAGAGCGCGCGCCAGTGTCTGGCACAGCGCCGCGCAAAGGCGAGCGACTCTTGCGATGCCGCCGCCGTCGCTAGCTACTACAGTCTACACTATACATTTAGCTAAGTAGGCACGCGTGATATGGGGGGATCTTATTCAATATCCCCTCCACGCCCACTGCTGTGGGCACAGCGACGACATGTGACGCTGTCTCGTTTGCCATCGCACGTCGCCAAACTGCGTTTCAAACAAGCGGGCCAACGCGACCCTTCTTTGTCGTGTGATGGGGGGATCTTAAATGAGATCCCCCTCGTTGGCCACTGCTGCGGCCACGGCGGTGCAGTTCGGTTGGGTTTCGCTTGGCGTTGACGCAATGCCGACGCACATGACAACAGGCGGGCTATACTGCGTCAGCGCTTGCTTTCGTTAGCGGGTCCGCGAGAACCCGTGCGCACCTCACTGTGCGCCCATGCAACCATCCCGCAAGGATGAATTGCCCCTCGTGACCCATTTTTTTGGGTCCAGGGTCAGCCAGGCCCAGCGCTTCTTGTCTTTGGGCGTCGCCCAGTGGTTGAAGCGCGCCTGCTTCGAGCGGAAGGTGGCGAGGGCAGTCTTGGCTTGGTCAAGCTCGGCCTGAAGTTCTCCCAGGAGCTGCGCCTGCTTGCGGCCACATGGCCGAAGGAGCATCCATGTGTGCATGCCCCCATTTCTACCGCATCAAGACACGATGGGAGGGGAAGAGGGCGCCAAAAGCTCTGGCCCTGCTTTCGCCTCTGGTCTAGGTTGTGCTTCTGGTTCTGCTTCAAGTTCTGGCTCTGGTTCTGGCTCTGGTTCTGGTTCTGGCTTTGGTTCTGGTTCTGGTTCTGGTTCTGGCTCTGGTTCTGGCTCTGGTTCTGGCTCTGGCTCTGGTTCTGGCTCTGGTTCTGGCTTTGGTTCTGGTTCTGGTTCTGGTTCTGGCTCTGGTTCTGGCTCTGGTTCTGGTTCTGGTTCTGGCTCTGGTTCTGGTTCTGGTTCTGGTTCTGGTTCTGGCTCTGGTCCTCGCTCTGGTTCTGGTTCTGGTTCTGGCTTTGGTTCTGGCTTTGGTTCTGGTTCTGGTTCTGGTTCTGGCTCTGGTTCTGGCTCTGGTTCTGGTTCTGGTTCTGGCTCTGGCTCTGGTTCTGGCTCTGGTTCTGGTTCTGGCTTTGGTTCTGGTTCTGGTTCTGGTTCTGGCTTTGGTTCTGGTTCTGGTTCTGGTTCTGGCTCTGGTTCTGGTTCTGGTTCTGGTTCTGGCTCTGGTTCTGGCTCTGGTTCTGGTTCTGGTTCTGGCTCTGGTTCTGGTTCTGGTTCTGGTTCTGGCTCTGGTTCTGGCTCTGGTTTTGGTTCTGGTTCTGGCTTTGGTTCTGGTTCTGGCTCTGGTTCTGGTCCTGGCTCTGGTTCTGGTTCTGAGCAGAACCTGGGAAAACCAAAAAGCGGCGGCGCTGATGATTGGAACACGAGGGGACACGAGGGGGCACGAGGGGGACACGAGGGGGACACGAGGGGGACACAAGGGGACACGAGGGGGACAGCAGGGGACACGAGGGGACATCAGGGGACACGAGGGGGACACAAGGGGACAGCAGGGGACACGAGGGGGACACGAGGGGGACACGAGGGGACACGAGGGGGACAGCAGGGGACACGAGGGGGACACGAGGGGACAGCAGGGGACACGAGGGGGACACGAAGGGGACAGCAGGGGACACGAGGGGCACAAGAGGGGAAAGCAGAGGACACGAGGGGGACACGAGGGGACATCAGGGGACACAAGGGGGACACGAGGGGGATACGAGGGGGACGCGAGGGGGACACGAGGGGACACAAGGGGGACACGAGAGGGACACGAGGGAACAACAGGGGACACGAGGGGGACACGAGGGGACAACAGGGGACACGAAGGGAACCATTCAAGTCTTGGAACATTTCGTTGCTACGGTTTGCCCCCCGTCAACCTTCTGCTCCGAACGTTCTCCAACAGGGAGAGGACCAGGAGGAAGAACAGAAGGTGGAGGACGAGGGAGGAGGGAGGAGGAGGACGAGGAACAGGAGAAGCAGGAGGCGAGGGGGGAGATGGAAGAGGAGGGGGAGGATGAGGGAGAGTAAGATGAGGAGGAATACTTCTCGGGTCACAGCCCGCTGTGACAGACCATGTGTCTGCGGCTGTTCGGTGCCAGCATCTCAAGACCGCGGCTTCGTGTTTTGGGCGTTTTGGGGGGTCGCTGGGGGGGGGACCGAGCATATATATATATATATATATATTTATATATATATATACACATTTATGTATACACATATACATATATGTTCGGAGGAACTTACTGTACTGTTTGGTATGTTTATTCAATGTTTAATTGCATTCATTTTATTAGTTTTATTAGTTTTATTCGTTCTATGCAATTTATTGGTTTTAC